AGGAGGAGGAGGAGGAGGTTGCGGCTGCGTTGGCAAGCCGCTAAAAAATTTCGATGAGAAAGAGGATCCACAATGCGCCCTCGAGGCTTATGCTAAGGAGCTTTTGCTTGTAGGTAGCAGGGCAATTTGGATGTTAATTGGGTTTGTGAGCCATGCTTTCATCCCTGGTCTTCAACTCACTTCGGATGTATGTCTGTGGGACGTTGCAGGAAGGCTATGTGTGATTTTGGATCCCTTGGAAGGGGTCGATGCGATCTCGAAGTCAAGTTGGAAGTGTAAGAATAGTTTATGCAAAACGAGGGACTTGTAAGAATACATCTCGGAAACGTTGAAACTTTAGACCTGATTTCCTCGATGCCACGGGTGCGGGCTGAGAGGCTGAAAAGCAACGGCCAGAGATGTATTCACAGGATTTACGACGGATACGGCTTGCCAGGTGCACCACTTGGAAGCGAAACCACCGTCACTAAAATCTACCGTCTTTGACGTGAAAGTCCAGCATCGTGATGAAGATGTATGCAGCTGAAATGTGAAAACACAGGTGCAGCAGCAAACTTGAAAGCATACAGGTCTTGGAAATCAGTTTGCGCGCCGGCAGGGTGGTTGAATCCCCGCGATTGGTTTCAAACTTGCAGCCAGCTTCTTGCTGTTGATGATGTGACGTCGGTAGTGGTCCAGGTGGTGGTGGTGGTGGTGGTTCCTGCTTCTGCTGTGCGGCTGAGATGGTCATGATGTGGTTGTGGCTTTGCTTTCGGAGCGGTGGTGGTGGCGGTATAGTAAACAGTATAGTAGTAGCGGCAGAGGTAGTGATGGCTGATGGTGGTGGCAGCGCCGGTGAGGGTTGTTGGTGGCCATGGTGGCAGATGCGGAAACTGTATGCTGTGGCGGTGGTGGTGCTGGTGACATGGTTGTGGGGCGGTTGCGGCAGTGGCAGTCGATATTGCAGTTGTTGGTGTGGTTGTGGCTATTGAGGAGCAAGTGTGTGAGTCTGTGAATGTAAGCAACTGGGTTAGCTGCGTAGTTGCACAGTTTGTACTGTCGGTCAGATGGGACCGATCATGCGGTGAAGCTATAATTCAATCAGCAAGGTTGGCGGGCAGGTAGGAAAGCAAGAACACAATCAAGTAAGATAAGTAGGGAACGAAGTGTAATTAAGCAGCAAGCAGGCAGGCAACGTTCTCAGTCTGATTGAACCATTCAGAGGCTCCTGTTTTTCGATGTTTTTCCGTTCTTTGTGTAAATTTCCCTCTTCTGGGTCGATGCTGCGGTAGACCAGGCCAAGCCTGCCCCCTCTGCTTGCAGGAGGCATTCTTGAAGCAGATGCACCGTGCAGGGGATCATCGAACACTGGTTGTGCCGACGATCACGGCTCTTGACCCGGACACGTGGGAAGAGAATGCAGCTTCGTCCAGCCAAGCATGCTACATGACCTGGAATGCCGACTTTACTTGGCTGCAAAGCCCGGGACGGGATGTGCCTGTGATGAGTGGAGGACTGCTGGCAATCAGCAAGCGATGGTGGGAAGAAACTGGTGGCTATGATGATCACATGATTGCATGGGGAGGCGAGAACATAGACCAGTCACTCCGCAGCTGGCTTTGCGGCGGTCGCATTGAGGTGGCAGACGGGGCTTTCGTGGCACACATGTGGCGTGACCCGAACAACCCCAAGACGCAGCTCAAGTACACCATGCGCACAGAAGATGTCATGCGAAATAAAGCTCGAGCAGTTTCCGGCTGGCTTGGCCCATACGCAAACAAGACCTTTACTTTTCCAGAGTACAATGCCTTTTTCAACGGGGAAAACAGCATCGGAGACTTAAGCAATTTCGAGCAGCTGCGGCAGAAGTTGAAGTGTGCCCCATTCTCTGCGTACTTGCATCGCTTCTCTTACATCTACGTGGATGGTGGATTGATCCCCCAAAGAGTTTTCCAGATCCAAGAAGTATCCTCCGGCCTCTGCTTGGAGAGGGAGGCGAAGGAAGGCCGCAGTCATGGAATCGTTCTGAGCCCGTGTGTGGGCGTGGATGGGATCCCTGGCAGGAACTTGTAGCAAGTGTTCTCGAGGTCTGCCAGGAAGTGTACAATCGTCGACCACGCATGCCCCGTGTCTTCTTGTTATAGAAGTTTGCGAGCCTTCGCAACTCTGCTTTGCTTGCAGATCAGGAACCAGGGTGTGCTGGACACCCAGCTGTGGCATCCGGGGAATCGAGACCGGAAGAAAGAAGGAGGCCCTTGCTGTGGCGGCCTGCTGAACTGGAATTTCCTGCCACTTGTTCCCGAGACCGGGGTCGAGAGTGCCCCGAGGACGTCGTAAAAGTATTAATGTCTCCGGAAAAGAGCTTTAGGCCAGCTTCGGAGACCTCGTGTGATCGAAGATAGCTCTCGACGCGCTCGGGTGCAACTACAAAAACCCTGATGAACACTGTGAAACTGTTGTGTTGTGCCTGCCCTTGTCCAAGGCAATGTTTGGCTTCGCATGGTTTTCACAGCGAGCTTTTCACCGAAGAGTGTGTCATCTCTGGTCACAGTGTCTTGGCGGTGGTTTTTATCTGACAGACTTTCTGCATGCATCGTGGGCCATATGCCCTTGTACCAACCTGTTCACATTCCTCGTTCTTGTGTCACGCTTGATGCCCGAGGTGTACACCAGGAGTTCCATGTACCCGAGGATCGGCAGTGTTTGAAGCGTTTGCCTGCGCTCATGGATCAGGGCTGGCTGCGCATCTCTTTTGTCGCCTCATAGAAACCTGTTCATCTGTAAAGGAGTACCGTAGGAAGGGGTAGCAGCAAAGGTCTGGGTCGGACACCTTACGAAAAGGAAAGCGGCGAAGGTGTGCGTTCGGAACTTGCTGTGTTGGTGAAAGTCGCGCAACCTCAGCTGCTCAGACGACCCCGTTGTTAACACGGGCTGCCCGGACCCTGAGCATCAACGGTAGTTGCAGAGCTCCTCGGTAAACCGCGGGCAGTGCTGGAGGAGTATTGCACGTCGAGCTCGTGCTGGCAAACTTATTCAAAGCTGCCAGCATTTCTTGCATGTGATGGTGGCGCACTAGTGTTTCGCGGCTGTAGCCTTCGACTAGTATGATCTAGTGGTACGCGCCGTAGCCGTTGCAATGCGAACTTGCAAAGTGAAGCAACGGCATGGAGCTTGTGCCAAGTTGCATTCTCGCAGCTTGTGGCCGACAATTCCAGACTGCAGAGGGCTGAGGGGGGATGGTGACGTCGATGCCGCTGGCGACGTGTGTTAAACATGGGCATTACGAATCGGGGGTGGCTCCTGAATCTATCTCACTCTCTGATCAAGCAGCAGCATTTCCTAGCATTCGTTGAAACCTTGAGGATGGCGAAGGGCCATTGACTTGGCGCGAAGAGATGTGTGCACTGCCAGAGGTGAAGAGCCAGGCCAGGCTGTGCTGCAATGTTTTTGTTGGCAGTTGGAGGAATTTGCCAGGAACAGACGCCGGGAGAGCTGGCACTTCAATCCTGTGCTGTGCGGGTGCAACAACAAGCGACCGGCGGCTTGGATGAAATTGAAGCGCTCTAGCAGCGCTCTCATGGGGTCCGCAGTCCTTGGACAACAAGCTGTGACATGCCTGTGATGGCCAAGGCTTCACTTTGCAGGTTGAGCGCGAAGATGGACGTACGTGCGTTACAGCGAAGGTGGCTACAAGCAGCACTGAGTGGCACATGGACTTGGCTCCGTGCCGTGACCGCTCCTTAGAATCAGAAGCCGAACAAAGCATTTGATGTTTTGCCTGGCATATCTGACGATGAACCACTCCCAGCCCGCCAAAGGTTTCGGCTTGTTGCAGTAGGCTACGCTAAAGCACCAGGAGAAAATTCCCGGGCGGACGATGAGCAACCGGCATGCTGCTGCAGCTTGCGGCTAGTACGAGGTCACTGTGCCCACCGCGTCCTCAGTTTCAAACACTCGATGTCTGCCGGGCCTCGCGCATGACTCGAGCCGTCCTCTTACCCACCATACTTCTCGACCATTTCGGCGCCAATTATATAGGGGTGGCTTCCAATGCACCTCGCTTGGTCAAGGCGATCACGCAACGCACGCCAGATAACAGTGATCCTGCAGAGTGCTTTACATTTGCCATTCTCCTCTCTCGTCGCGACCTCATAGCTTGGCTTAAGGGACCACCGCAGGTGTCCCACTCTTTCTGCTTCTGCAAATGAAGGTGCGGTGTCCAGTTGTGTGCAGCTTAGCTCCTGCACCTGCACCTCAAGCCGCAGCTTTAATTCAGAAGGCTGACGTTGACCGTTCATATGACCTCACACATGTATGTGTATGCATACCTGGCCCCCCCCCCCACACACACACATATATATATATATATATGTACATACGCATGTATGTATACATGCATGCTTATGCTTGGAGATATGTGGGTTCCTTGCTTGCATGGCATCCCCCCATACAGCTGTGCACAACCAGCCTCAACATGTGTGCATGTGTGTGTGTGTGTGTTTGTGCTTTTGTGTGCGCGCTTGGACACGACAGTCGGTGCCTGAGCCAGGACGACGACAACTTGCAAATCTTCGTGGCAGAGGATCTTCCAGATGAGTCAGTGCGAGTGAAACTGCTGAACACGGATTTGTGCTTGGATTCGTCAGCCGGCAATCAGCTGGTGCCATATCCGTGCTATGCAGACAGCCAAGAGAACCCAAATCAAGCCTGGAAAATTCAAAGGTCGCGCTTGGTTTGGGAAGACGCCATCCAAAGTGTGTGCGTCGATGCGCCAGTCCCTCCTGGTAACTTAAGACTTCGCAAGCTGCCGCCACAGCCGATTTGGACACTCGCTCCATGTGTTGACAAAGTCGGCCAACGTCTACATAAAGAGGACATGAAACCTGACGGGACGTTCTTGCTGAAAGATGCGGACGCTGGAAGGTGCCTGGCTGCTCGCAAAGTGATGTCTTTGGAGACTCCGCTGGCACTGTCACCTTGCAATGATCGGCAGCGCTTTCGTGAGCTGAAAGAGCGAAATCAAGTCCAGCATGTCTCCACAGGCTACTGTGTTGATGCTGGCAATGATGCACCTATTCTGTACCCATGCCATGAGCCCAAGGCGCTTCGGAAACAGCGTTTCGAAGTGAAAGACACACCAGGTTGGCTTCAGCTAATGAGAGGTTGGGAGGATAATGGCCGGAAGCGCTTCTTCGAACGCTGCTTCGACCGCCAGCCACAGCCACCGACGAGAGTCGTGGTGCGCAAATGCGAGGAGGTTGAAGCCAAGGGCGTGAAATGGCGACGCATCAACTTCCAAGAGCTCTGGCCGAGATATTTAGGGAGCCTTTCGATTTGCAATTCCTGTATCTGGAGTCCGAAGTTTGAAAAGTCTTTTACTGTCGGAGTTTATTTGACAGTGGATCCGACCTGTGCGGAAATGCAACCGAAGGACACGCCTGAGTGGCATCTTTGGCGGAATGCTCCAGTCCCAGTGCAGCCACTGGGCGGTGATCTGCCACCGAAACCTTGAGAAGTGCCCAAGCTCATCGATTTTTTTGGCATGGGGCTAAAACGGCAGCTTTCATGAGTCTTCTGCTTGGTAGAGTAGAGCAGTCCTGGCAAACTCCTTTGCCACAAGGTGCTGCCAAGACAACGCTACGCCGACCACGTGCGCATTGCTCGGAGGCATCGCGATGGAGGCGTCTTGGAACCATGTTTAGATTTCACAAGAGACGTGGAACGCCAGCATGCAGGCTTGCTGGTGGGAGCGCGCTCGAGGTCATCGAGGTCATGTGGAACATTTGCCGGTGGAGAGCGTCGCAAAACGCAGTCGCGACTGGCGTCGAACATCCAAGCTGGGCACTGGCAGTCACGGGCTCGCGCAGCTCGGGCGGCCCGGCAAGTCGACGGGCCGGATACATCAACACCGTCCATGAGCTTGAAGGGCATGGAACAGGGGCTTTCAAGACGCAGCCCTGTCGTCAGAGTAAAAACAACTTGCGGAAAACAGCACAGTCAAAGAGAACCTGTTTGTGGCACTTGTCTCCTGTGATGGCCAAGGGGGCACTGCAGTGCAGGCAAATGATGTGAAGCTCGACATGTCTGCTGATGTGTGGGTCGCTTAGACGGCCGCGGCATGCCGTCGGCTTATGCATGGTGGCATCTTTGAAGAGCACCTGGTACTAGACCACAGGAACGAAGCTGTGTTTACGTTCGCATTGTAGTGAAGAGAGACTTCTGCAAGGCTCCACGGCGATGTGTGGACCCCGGAGGCCTATGCTGCAGGCCAGGGAGCACGTGTTCTTCAGGTAGAAGTGGTGATACGACTTGGTCACGCGTGACTTGTGACAAGGAGTGACACCTGCAGGAGCAGTCCTAGGGAGTCGTTCTGCGCAGCCTCGAGGATTCATCGGCACTGACATAGCTCGGGCCAGCTTCCGACGATTGCTGCGAAGTTCCGGCGTGACGTCGAGCTTTGGCCTTGCAAGGTTATGGTAGCTGGAGGTGGCGTCACAATTTGCCTCTTTGAGCCTTCTATCCGAAGCGCAGCAAGCCGTCACACACAATCGTTCGACGAAGGATGACAAATGGCTTCGTGTTCGTGGAAGCACTTGGAGAACTGGGCTCTGACGTGAGGCAGGTGCCTGAGATTCACTTGTCGCTGCCTGCTTCCATGTAGTGCTGCAGTGTTCTTATGCTCGTGAAAAGAGCAGGGTGTTGTTCCAGTCGCCGCAGGGCTGTCTTGCAGTACCGGATGCTGTGCCGGAGGTGTCATGGTGCAGTGCGCGGCATACCGGGCCTGTGGCACGTGCCGGATCTGAGCTTCAAGGGCAGAATCACCGACATGCAAACTGCATGATTTGAACGCCAGTGTTGACAATGAGCAGATGCAGGCCGCATCTGGTTGGACAAACATGAGCAGCAAAGATTATGTATAGTCTTTTCGATTGCAGCCGGAACATAAGGCCTTGGTCGATGAAGCGCACAGTTTCGTGGATGAATTGAAGAAGTTACGGAGAAGTCCTAAGTACTTAGTGGGGTTTATTGTGAGATTGAAGTGTCGGGCAAGTCTGGGGCGAATGAAGCCGATCGCTTACCGGAGTAATTATTCAGATGCGTCCGTTGAGGATCTTGAGGGTTTGCTAGGCGCAGACGAGAGGTTCTTGCGCAGTCCTTCCGTAAAGTCTTGCCCCCCCCCCTCCATGTGGTCATCTCAGCTTGACGGCGCGCGCTGCAGCGTGGCCGTGCAGCAAAATGATCAAGAGCATCTCCTCTTAATGGAACAAGTCCCTAGGCAACACGGTTGGCCTGCTGTTGACTTGACCTTGCCTTTCACAGAGTTCCACAATCTGGAAGTTGCGCAACTCAGAGAAGGTGGACACCACCGAGCAGCAGATCTGGTGTCGCATGTGCTGACGGGACCTGGCCGAGTTTGCCAGGCTCCGAGCAGATGGAGGGGAAATGAAAAGCAATCCTTTCCAGGATATCATTTCTGTGCAGGCTGAAGCTACTTTGGCATTAGGGCTGTGTTGTGGCGCGGGTATTGCACGTTTGCACATTTTTGAGATGTTAGCAGGTTGCTTGTGACCAGCACCTTAGCCCGACCTCACTCTCCCCAAGCACGTTTGGTTCGGTTCAGTCTCTCCTGCTGGACCGTCTGGTCTTATGCTTTCGGAGGAGTCGCCGAAGTGCGCCTGCCTCAGTTGGCAGTTCTGAGCGCATGACTTCTCGCATTTCTGACGTCTGCAGCTAACATATTAGCTTTGTGCTTTCAACGGGCGTGTTTGCCGGAACCAGATTTGCGATAACTCACCCACTTCGAACAAGTCTTGTAGAAGTGCAGGATGCAGGTCCCGCATTGCATCGTTTCGAGCCAAGGCCCTTGCCGCCGCTGTGAGTGCTGGCCAACGCATGCGTCGCCACGACGACAAGTGCACTTCGCGGGCAACGTGAGGGAGGAGTTCAGAAAAGCTGTCCATGCTTCGTGCATAAGACGGGCTATTCTTCCCACTACATTGGATAGTTGTGGCTCAGCTTCTGCACGTTGGCCTCTGGCTAAGGTGGGCTGCATGTCGCTGAGAACGGCAATCAGAGGGCCCGTGTCTCAGCGAAGGTTTTGTTGCAAAGTTCAACTTCACGAGGAAGCTTCTTTCTCCGTCAGCCTGAAAATCAGCGCTCAATTTCTGCAGCCAGCGATTACTGTCGAGGCACAGTCCTTTGACCTCTCAACTTGTTGCGCTACGGCAACACAGGCCGCAAGCAAGATCACCAAGATCCGCTTCGCTTCACTTGTCCGTACCAACCATTTGCGCTGTTGCCCGCTCTTGGCTTGGTCCGGACGGTCCAGCCGCCAGGCTGTTGGAACCATCGTTTTTGGCTGCGAGCCGCAGGTCGTCGGCGTAAGTGCTTGTAGCTTGCTGGCCATGTTGCGCTGTCAATGTGAAATTCATGATCCCAGCGCAGCAGGTCTCATGCTGCTTTAGTTCGCTATCTGGTGCGTCTGGAGTCACCGCGGGGTTATGCCAGTCTCATGAGGAGCTCGCTTGCTTTCTCGGCAGTGGATGCCTTACGCTACTTCCCAGAGTCAGTGTTCGATGGCATGGATCAGGAAGAGATGCTGTTAGTATGTGCGAGTTTGCAGATGATTGGAGCAGAAAAGCATGTTTTCTGATCTGCCATGCAAACCAGAGAACTAGATCGCCGTGCATCAGTTCACCAAGTACCGTGTTGGATGAGGCTATGCTGTGAATCGTCTCAGGGCCGCGCGCTCGGCACTTGTGTTTCGAAAGCTTACTGCATCCGGTATCTAGACGTCTACCGGCGTTGACTGCTCAAAGATTTGCGCCAACTCAATTTTTCAAGCCCCATCTTGGTCTTTGCTTTGGTGGTCCAGCCCTAGGCGTGAGGTATTCCCTATTGCCGCAGGGCTGCGCAAAGACACAGCCGTCATCCCCCGTGCTGATGCCGACAGTTCTGCAGGCTCCCATGCGGATCGATGCTATGAGCCTCCGCCCCAGGACGTGTTTGAATGAATTTCATTGTTCGGGAACTTCGGGATCGGGTGGTGGAAGCAGTCTCCCGGTCGCAGGGCCGGATAGGGCCAGTTTTTGCTTCAGCCTCACAACATTCCGATATGTAGAAAGGTCCCGCGGTGACATGGATTAGTTCCACTTGTTTGGTGGTGCCTAGTCTATCGCGTTCGCGCACTTGAAACTTTAATGCTGATGCACTCTGCCAGGTGCCGGGCTGAGGATTATTGATTTGATTGTCCGCCTGCCGCCAACTGTCGTGAAAGGAACTCTTAGGGAGTACTGCAGTCTTTGGTAGCATTTCGGCTGGATGTTCGAGTTGTTGCGATCCGAGACGACGAGCTCTTCATTGCAGACACGGACAATCATCGGGTGCTGCGGTCGTGGCCTCAACCGTCTGCACTCACCGTTATGTCAGCCGCTCGCAACGACAGCATGGTGTGACAAGCAAGATCAAGAAAGAGAGACGAGTTCACATCATAAGACTCACGATTGGCGAATCGTAAACACCAAATCAATGCCCTCATAAATCCTGACGTCATTTTTTCGTTTCCTTCTGGTTTTGAGCAGATCTGCCCACCAACGAGCCCATCTGCAGCACTTGACAAGATTCCCACACGGGCGTGGTGCAGAAGCGCTTAGTTCTCCTCGGTTCCGAGGGTCAGCACAAGCCCGAGCAATTCCTCAGTCGAGGTGCCGCACTGAGAGCTTTCTGATGTGCTTTTCCACGGCTGGCGACGCCCTTCTGTTTGGCCCCGCCCTGTTCCCATGCCAAGAACAGTTGCTGTTGCTGTCTGTGCCTTCCGTCTCTTTGTGTTCCCTTCCCTTGGTCCTCTCAACGTTCTTTCATTAGTTTCCCCTTATGCCCACGGCGGATGGCTTGTTTATCCAACTCTGCGTGTATGCTTTGTCACGATCCGTTTTGTTGTTTCTCGCTCTGCCGGACATCTGATTCAAGCACGACTCGCATCCGTTGCGCATTCTGGTTTCGAGCGTATAGCCTTGGGAGCCAGGAGATCGAGGCTACTTCAGCAGCTTCAGCAAAACCAACCCGTTAACACCCGTACAACTCATGCTTCATGTTACATTCCGTAGCAGTTTGCCCGCATCGTGATGCTTAGTCTCACTGCCAGGTAGTTGCTGGTACTACAGGCATCGTGCGCGCACTTAGCCTTGCTTGACTCGCTTGGCATTGTTGTGCCACCATGCATTGCATTGTACCATCATTTGGTCTGGTGCGTTGTTCTAGTGGAACTGCGACAACAACAGCCTGCTCACAAAGAGAGGGTATGCTGTATGCTTACTCGAGCCCCGGAGTTGCTTCTGCTGTTGACAACGACTCGAGTCGACAGCCTTCGCCCACTTTGCTTGTTGCATCGGTGCTGACAATCGTCATATTTGCATGTACACACACACGCACACATACAGACAGACAGCTAGATAGACAGGCAGGTCGGTAGGTAGCTAGGATAGCTTAGACATAGAGGCACTGAGAGAGTATGCCTTTTCAGGTTTTGGATACTTACGGACCCAAGAGAATGAGCACTACTCCACCGGTACACAGAAATCCCAAATTACAAACCTTGGTAACCCTGCACCTATTGGTGCAACCTTCACTTAACTTATTCCGCAACAGACATGTGTATGCTCGCGGCAGCAATTGATCTGCCAAGCCGTTGTCACGGTTCAACCTTGAGACAATGACAAGTACAGATTCATACGTGTATATGTGTACACGCACACGCACACACACACACACATACGTACGTACGTACGTACGTACGTACGTACGTACATACATACATACATACATACGCAGACACACACACACCTGTACATATATATATATATATATATACATATATATATATATATATATGCACATGGGAAACAAACACGTGCAAGCACCCACACGCGCGCACACACGCACGCACGCACACACACACACACACATACAGATACGTGCATACACACACACAGAGATGCGCACACACACACTCTCTCTCTCTCATTAAGATAAACACGTATACAATGAAAGAGAGCGAGCGAGAGAGAGAGAGAGAGAGAGATCTCGACCCCCACAAGGCCCCTAAACAGGCGTGCGCCCTTGGGCGCGAGGTGCTTCGCACGTACCCTATGCCTCGGAGAACAGAACCGAACAGAGTGATCGAGGGACGAAGTGTGAACACAGTCTAGCCCCGTGCTCAGTTGTTGTATTGTGTTGAAAAGGGGGGAACCACAGACCGTAGAGACACTAAGGGGGAAACGGTTGTCGCAGGGACCAAGGATCAAGCATAGAGGCCGCGGAGCCCAGGCCGGCATGCAGGCTAAAACTAAGGGTTAGGGTTTGTGCAAGTTTGTTCTATGACAACCGTTCAACCCAAAAGCACAGACCGTTTGACCATGTTTGACCCCAAAGCCCTTTCTCTCGTAAAACATAGACAGGGGGTGTCTCGGCATGGGTCTGTTCGCGCAGACCTGAGCCCGACTGAAGGAAGGAAGGAAGGAAGGAAGGAAGGAAGGAAGAGAGAGACAGAGAGAGAAAAATCGCAGCACTATCAGACAGACAAGAACCAGTGCGCGTGCGTGCGCGGGGGGGGCAGGGGGGGCAGGGTTCTGCCTTTCCTTGGCTGTGACGAAGAAGAGAAAAGTTGCCACATAGCAACACCTCGAACAAGCGCTGCCGCTGCCACATGCTGCCGGGTTCGATCAGGCTCATTCCAGGGAACATCGTGGCCATCCCCGGAAGGTGTCGAGAACCATGGGGTGGTAGGCCTCCGGGCCAGGGGACCTCCTGTCCCTTTACCCCAAGCAAACAAACAAGACGGAAGCTGCCAGCTTAGCCCTACACCAGACTTGAGATCAGTGCGCTGCTGTGCACTTGAAAAAAGGGCTACTTCCCCCTCTTCTTTGTTTGTGCAAAGGAAGATAGACTAAATTCCGGTGGAATGCACGAGCATCTCTCCCACGCTGCATATGCTTCTTTATGTATTCGACTCAGTGCAATCGGACCCAGCTCAAGGCTGGCTGTCGGCCTGAGCAACTACGATCGCCACAAGCTGTTGCCACGGACAGCAGGAGGCTCAGAGCCAGCGAAGACAGCACATCATAATTGCTTCAACATCGGAGGAGAGGGAGGTTTACATAACCCCGCGCATAAGTGGCTGTGCGTGAGCCACACGGACCCAGTCACTAGCAGCCATATCGTTCGAAGTGTGGTTTTCGACGAAGCGATACTCGACAAAGTAATCAGATAATGGCGGCATTTGTGTACCTGGAGAGATGGCGGAAACACCGATGCGTTGCAACCACCTGTCAGCTTTCTACTGAATGTTAGCCTCCACTTGTCTTCTGCCCTCACACGCGGTCATCGAGTTTGTGCCTGTGTCAGGAACCGGCACTGCAAGCATTACAGGTGTACCTCGTCAAAGCTCCACGTAGCCTTCTAGAGAGGCGTCCTGAGTATGACCTTGCAACCTCCTAGGTTCTAGTTTCAATCGCAAGCGTTTCATCCGTACTGCAGGCAGCGGGTTCTTGTATGTGGCTGACACGGGTGGGAACCCAAGATTCTGCAGCTTTTTCCTTCGCTCTAGAGAGCGGTACAGTATAGGTTCGTCTTTGGGTTCATTCAGCTACATCACTTCGAGTGCTCTTCGAACAGAACTGAGACACGTAATGCTGACCATCGCTGCCGTTTGGCTCGAAGCTACGGCATTTTTGCACTGAGTTTAGAGTCCGTGCCACGGGGTGGCCGGTCGAGATGTGCAGCACCTCGGGAATATTTGGTGCATCATTTCGCGTACGGCAAGTGCACGACGAAACACAAGTTATTTATGTACATCCTCCAGACGCTGGCTCGGACAGTCATCAAGAGAAAGGTTTGCCCACGCTCGTGCGCAAACCTTTGCGCAAGAATGAGTAGGCGGTCAAACTAATTGCCTTCAACTTCCCCGACATCTTGCCAGGCAGCACAAGTGCATAGCATCTAAGGAGCAGGACAAATGGAGGCACTTGCGCGACTGACGCTGCTGATGTTGCTGAGGCCGTCTGTTCATGCGACCGTGCATGTGAGCCGAAGAGTCTGAGAGCGGCTTCCAACATTCCGAGTGGCCAAGGCTGCCGAACACCGTGGCGCAGGCCTTGGGATGCTTTCACTACGGCTACGCATGGACGACCCATGTATTAAGCAGAGCCTTCATGCATGCTGTGGGCTTTTGACTGCACGAGCACCGCGTGGTTTGTGTGAGCTGCCTAGGAATGCCATGACAAACGTGACTGGCAATCCCTTCACCAAGATATCTGCTCCGGAATGCAACTCGCCAAAGCAGACAGACATTGTTCGATGTAGCTCGTCGAGATCTCCGGAGACCAGCGCAGACCTTTTCGGCAGTGCAATATCTTTCAAGCCTCCGGCGTCCCACACTGAGCAACGCGTGTTTCTGAAGGCCATGTTTTTTTTACTAAGGCCAGCTCCAGTGCCGGAATACCATTGGATGCACAGGTTTCGGCTACTATCCCATCACTGGCTCCTGTGACTCCGGCTGAGCTTGAGCAGAATATGCGTAAAGCAGATATTGAACCCTTCTAGATTCTAGTTCTGGATGACCAGAGACAAGATGAGGCAAGGTATCCTCAGGTGAGTCGGAGGAAGGGGTGCCGTTGTGATGATCCTGGGCTTCGGTCACGTTAAAGCTCAGGGCGAACTTTCGTGTGACCCTTTCGGAAAGCCGTTCGTTTTTTGTTGATGGCGGCAGTGCGGCCATGTGCGGCAAAGGCTATCTCGGCGGTTCCGGCGGCGCCACCTGGGCAGAAAGAAACAAGCGGACTTGTTTTGCTGGTGCACTAGCACATGGTCGATGCAACAGTAAGATGACGATGTGCGTTTTGGTTATGAACGCTTTTTGAAAAACGACATGTGCGGTTCTGTGCAAGGTTCTGCACAAGACTTGGTAAAGCTTCTTCAATTGTCGTAGCATCCGGCCCCCCTCTTGCCTGGAACTGATCTGCATGCTCTTGGATTTGTCCTGAGGCTCTCTATGAGGCGAAGGGCGCCATTGCTGGACCGCGCGAGCTTCTAAGCTGAAACGGGTGCTGGGGTCACGGGGGTCAAACCATTTCTTGGTTTGACGGGTCAGCAGATTCAGTTGGTTTGAAGTCCGAGTTAATAATGTGGGGCATCCGCGGGTGCCACACTGCAGAAGTGGGCATGTATGCTATCGCGAGCCGACGCAAAGATCAGGTGCGTCTCGCCAGATCCGGCTTGCGTGTCGCTGCCGGACGCCAGCTTTCCAGGCAACTCAGCTTGTCCGTTGCATTGCGACTACACCTTCGTTCGGAAGTTCGGGGCCTGCGATGGACGGAAGCATCCAGAAGATATTTTGTCAGGTTCCACCCCTGAGAAGAGCATGAAAGCGTGGCCTGGGGGAGTCCAGCCGACTTCCTTGCAGTGCTGGCCACGAAGATCAGATGGTCAGGTGACCCGGTGCCGCATCTTGAAAGCATAGTGCAGACATGCGCAGACAGTGTAGATGCCGCGATGTCTCATAGAACACCCTTTGCCTGTGGTGCCAGATGTAGCGTCGTGGGAGGCACGTAGTGCTTGAGGCTTCTGCAGGCCTGCACAAGATATGACCCTCAGGCTACTGTAGGGTGCATGGCTCACCATCGACACTTGCACATGCTCTGCAATCTATGCCTATGCATTTGTCTTGTGTCCGAGGAAACCAGACAGCCATCGTCCTCGAAGACACCCAGGTAGCCCGCTCGTTAATTATTCTGGTTGCAGAGGGTGTAGGATGAAGCTGGAGTCAGGACGGGTGGCCTGGACGATGTGAAGGCATGGTGAAAGTCACAGACTTGGAGGCGCGTGTCTCACGAGTCAGCGAGTTGCCTGTTCGACCATATGATTGATTGATGCCAGAAAATCCTTTGAGAGATTGGTTGAGGCATATTGACAGGGCAATTACCAAATACTACAGGCTGTAGGTGTAAAGTGGCGCCAAAACTGTGGCCGACAAGACTCAAATACTTGCCGCTCCTGTTCGCGATATTCGGCATTTGGCATGCAAGGGCGAAGAGACGTGCCAGCTCCGCTGCATGATGTGGCATGCCGGCAATTAGCTAGCCATGGCCGGTCGGCAGTAGTCTCAACACGTCTCCAGGTTTTGATTGGCTTGTCCTAGAGTCTAGGCAAAATTCCAGGGAAGCAAATTGTTATCCGTGAGTTACCAGGAAAGGAAACCCCACACAAATCCAGCGGGTGAGACGAAGACCCCCCAGCTGAGCAGGTTGTACTATTTTATGGAGTGTGTTGTTGCGATGGTCTTGAATCATTGAACTCGCACAGTTTCGCCTCTAAGCAGACCTCGAGCCACATGCCTCGCCTGGATTGTCTGAGTGTGAGCGCCGAAAGGGCTGTTAAAGCATGTGCAACAGAGTGCAAGCCCCAAGAAAAGAAATGCAGAATTGCAGTGGCTGCCTGTGCGTTGTGCCAAGGTCACCTCTTTGCTCGGTGTGGTCCATTGAGACTACTTCAGATCCGAGTGGCTCGCCCATGTGCTGGAATGGCATGCTGGGGACGAATTGCTATAACGGCAACGGCCCGACGCCAGTGCGAGCGCAAAGGCTCCAGCACGGCACGTATCGAGTGCTGATGCAGACGACTGGAGTGCAGGTGCTAGGGCTACACAACAGCTTTGGAGGCACGGTCTACAAGACCTGGGAAGAGGGTGCCCAACATTGCAAGTTCGAGTGCAGATCGTTTCTTTTGTGCCAGTTCTGGCAATACTCAAAGACGTATGGGTGCTTCCTCGAGATTCCGTCTGAAGGTGTGGTGGGTTACCCATTGACAACATCGGGCCCTTTTCGGTCAGTGCGACTGGACAGTGAAGCAGCGGCCGATGTGGTAGCCGGTGAGATGCTCCAGCACAACTGCGTGGGGGACATGTCGCCGCTGCCAACCGCCATGCCGACAGGGAATGAAGTCCATCTCGTGGTTCCGGGCATGGAGCCCGCATCCACCCAGACCTCCGCGCAAGGAGGGTGGCCTTGGTGGGTCAGTTACTTGATTTTCATTTTTGTGGTGCTCTTACTGTGTGTGGTGATAACAGCTGTTTGGATGGGACTGGAAGACCGCAAGAAACGGCGTGCAAGGGAGAAGAACGTCAGGGGCGCATGGGATCCGGCCGGCCCGGCCGGCTCGGTCGGCAGCCATTCTGCAGAACAGGCTGGCTTCCTGCAGAACATCCACATGCCGCAGTTGCCGCAAACCTGGCACATGCCCAACATGCACCTTCCCTTCCAGGACCCTAATTACCAGTCCGTACCGGGCTATGGAGATCCAGCAGCTCATATGCAAACTCATGGAGGCCGAATTGCCGGTCGCAGATTTTAAAATGAAGGTCTTGCTTACAAGATGAATTTCCAAATGTTTCACTGGAGCGCATGTGTCCTCTTGCAGGAGAGACTGGGCGTTTGCTGCGGTGGTGGCTGAGCACAGCACAGCGTGTGCTGATGCTCTCGTTAACGGTGATGACTGACTACTACAGGGGTGCGCATAGCACGCATATCAGAGATACAATGCCAGAGATGCAACAAGCGGATGCCCAGCGGCGGAAAGGGATGCTGTCAGACCCCCATCAAGACAGCATCCCAAAATTAGTTTGATTAATTTTGCTTCCTGCTGGCAGAAAAAAGCCGTTTTCTGGTGCACACGGAACATGGCAACATGGTTAGATGGGAGGAGGGTAGAGCGGCGTGAAGAGCCGTACTTATGCTCTCATACCTCAGGCAATCACCGGATCCAGAAGTTTGCGGCGGACATCTCAGAGCATCCATCAGCTAGCATGCTATTACAGTGTCACAAAGATTTGGTGTGCAGAGGCCGTTGCCGGGCGGGTACGGGGGCGGTTAGCCTCAGGGCGGGGGGGGCGACCCGGTACAACTGCACAGTTTATACAACTTGGCACATTTGGCACCTTTGACTTACATGTCTGCGGTCGAAACAGCAGATGGACAGGCTGGTAACCCCGTCAGCCTTTTCCAGCCAAGTTCCAGCTGTCGCGAGATGCCGATGCAGAGCTACGGTAGTACAAACAAGGAAGCCAAGCAACCCCCGCAGTTTCCAGAGATTTGGGCTAAGGTGGCTGCAGGCGACCGGATCGGTCTAACCGTGGCTGGTGAGCCGGGAGCCTTCTGCAGCTGTGAAAGTTTCACGCTGCAAGTTGCACAAGTACCCACGCCTCCATGCGTGCGGCGCCATGTCGTATGGACTGTACAGGCATTATTTCCGGCCGCTTGCAGCTGAAGTTCTGAAGGGGCTCAAGTACGTGCATGTGCAATTCAGCAATGTGCCTCTGTCTTCCACTTATGCAAGCCTTCCACTTACACTTCACGATCGTCGACTCAGCTCAACATAGGCCCACTAATGAAGGTTGGCCAGAAGCCACATGCCCGCCTTATGGCTAGACATACGCACCCTGCGCAGACACTTTGGTGCTAGATACAGCGTCCACCCGACCCTTACCATACCAAGTCGGACCATGTCCCAAAAAAAACAGCACTCACCAAGCTCTTGTACGCGGGGCGAGGAGCCCTCCCGATCAAATAGGCACCGGTTGCCCGTACCGGTGCCTCATACTTGCCGCGGAGGGCCCGGTGGGAATCGTGCCGCACTGAGTTCTTGAGCCATGCCCTGGCATAGCAATTTGTACTGTTGGATTTGTTTTGAGTGCAGCGCTTGTACCAGGGTTCTGCTGGGAAACGGACCTGGTGACCTCCTGTCGGCTTACGTACTGAAACCTGGAAGTTGCACAAGTAAACCGGCACTGTGACACTGCGGCAATGACAATCAATGATGTTCCTTCAATGAATGGAGAAGTCGTGCGCACCCTGTGTATTACCGTCAGAATCCTTGTAAACAGTGAACGCTGAGGTGCCCCGAGATCATGCGGGCCGGCTCTAGCGAGTCTCTAGGCTCGCGGAGAGTCGCGGGAGGAAGCTAAGTCTGCACACACGCGCGCGGAACCAAGCTTTGCCTCAGACTCAATAACGGTCGGCTGCAACAAATACTAGAGGTTCCTTGAAAGGAATGTCCAGCATATTCCAGCATTTCGATTGCGGCGATGTAAACATGACCGGACCGAAGGGACAGGTTTAGCAGTCGGTAAAATTCGATTCGATTAAAGCGCATGGAGGACCAGCTGGGCTGCCGACAGACATCTCACCGAAGCTGGCGGCAGACATCTCTTCACCAAAGCTTTCTCCAGGCAACGCAGTCAGGGTGACCAAGATGGGTTTAGCAGCGAGAGGCTTAGCAGTCAATCGGATGCACAAGATGCAAGGCCACACAGCTTTGCAGACATTGGGAGATGCGAGTTGACTTCCAGCTCTGCTAGTGTCATGTGTCGCTTCATTGGGGGCCAGTGAGTGCAGCTACTTCCTGTATCGATTTTCAGGTGTGGACCTGCGAAAGTCTACGAACCGTTCCTTTGCTTGAAATAAACGGCTGTCTCTTACAGTGTGACAATTGGCAGCGACCTTCTGAATGCGAGGGGTCATCGGATGGATCTGAGACTTCATTCTTGTCAAAAAGCCGCATGGACTGCCATCGGAAACCCCACAGGTCTAAATGACAATGTCATGTACGGAGTGATGCATGTAGTGGGCGCTTGCTCGTCTGTTTGTTAACGGCAGAGAGGCGATGACAGGTCGCCGTGGTGAGGGTGGGGTGGCAGTGCGGAGGGATTTGCAGACTTGACATGTTTTGTCGCGGATCCAAAACAGCGGCATATCATGAAAGCTAGTTTCCGTCGTCGTGCCTTCTGTTCATGTGTTTCCCTCGCTCAGCCGCCAACACTGGCGACAAAGCCGAGAACGCGCGGAAGGTCCTCGAGGCGCGAAAGGGCTTTCCGTCAAGTTGTTGGTTGGCCTCAAAACAGAGCACCTGCCGGTGTAGTGCACGCCGTACTGCATGGTCTAGCTACAATTTCTGAATGCATGTGACGGCCTGCAGCAGCCCAGAGGCGAGACGACAGAAGCAGCGGAATGAAGAAACGAAGATCACATCTGCAGCACCCGTGGCACCGGCCCCTAGCAGTGCCAGTGCTGCAAGCGGAGCGGGACGGACATTGGCAACAGCAGGTGGTGATTCTGAGCTGGACAGGCGCAGTGTGAGTCGCCTCCTCCTGATATGCATTAGAGTCCCTTCATGTTGGTTTCAAACGTTTAAGCAGTTTAGCACAGGTTCTCAGCACAGCTGCTCTGTTCCAGCTGGAAGTAGTCTCAAGAACGTCCAAAAAGGTTCTGGACATCTAAGGACTCAGTCAGAACGCCTTGAAATGGATCCAACGGCTCGGAATGCTCTACAATTTTCCAGATGTCTAAGGCTGTGTCTGAACGCGGTTCTTCAGAATGCTCTAATGCTCCCGGAGAGTCGTCCGATGGTTCAAGATCCCTTCCAAAAATTTGCGCGCAAACAAACCACCAGACATTCCAAGATATGCATTGCAACACACTACCAGGTGCAGCAGAGGAGACATCGCGTCTTGGGCTGCGAGCTACAGGGGTATTTGACTTCACAGCTGTGCTGTTTCGATCAGCTCCAGGGCGGCTAATTTTACTCAGCACGCAGTAGATGTTCGCATCTCCACTGCATCAACTGACGTCCAAGGCAAGGCTTTTCCCAGATGCTTGGGAACAGAATCCTGCAGGGAGTGCACGACATCCTGAGCATCATGGATGACAAGGCAGTCGTTTCAAGTAATAACTCACTGTGGAATTGCTCGGCACACCACTACTGCTGGGCAACTTGTTCTGGGCTTCGAGGCTAGCTTTCAGTTGCAGCATTTGCCCGAGGTGTTGTGCAAGTATGTGTGAGCGAGTGCACCAGACATGAACTTACACAGCTAATGGATCAGGTCGAGAACCTTGTCGCGGAAGTTGCTGCCATGCGCAAGGACATGCGCGGCAGCGCGTTTGCACCAGGAGTTCCAGCAGTGTCGCTACTCTTTTTCCTTGACGGACATAAGCCCTTCGGGCTGATGGGCATTGGTGTACGGTATAAATCGGTATAATGTGGGGTGGCTCTACTGCCCGCTAGTGGGCATCATTGTCTTGGAGTGACATAGGCAGCCTTCCTGATGATCCGCAGATGCGATCCTGATCGATCCTGCAGAAACGCTAGGCTTGGAGCCGACGCAGGGCGTCCTGCAGGGTGTCCAGTGGTGACCCCGCTGCAACTTTCAGACCCAAATGAGACCAACTGGCGCTGACAGAAGGGGAATCTGTCACTGTTGTTGAAGGTGCACAGGCCATGTTGAGAACGACACCGCTGTCATGGGTCGAATAAAGGTTTGGACAAATCCTGGTGGTGTCAGTGATTCTAGACGTGTGAACCATGGAAATAATTTAACAACTTGAAGTTGAGTCGCGCAATTCTGCAAGGCTGGACGACAGAATAGAGGGAAAGCTGGATGCTATCATTCAACAGCTGCGGCGTGGCAAACTTGAGCGGGAAGGCACGGCGAGTTGTGACATCTCGTGTCTCGTCCTATGATCTCGTTGCACAGTTCTTAAGAGTTCTTACGTGGCTCAGGGACGGGCTGACTGAGGATTGTGGCGTGTTTTGCTTCGGCCGGTGCGTCTGTGTCGTGCATGCATGATTATGCAGTGCAAGTATGCACCATCTATGCTATGCATGTATTCTACCTCCTTCTAGATGTGCTAGTGATCGAGACGAATTGGGTCGTATGTCTCGACTCCCGCAACCTGGGCACCCCACACAAACGTCGAATGCCAGATGACGTGGGCCCGGCGGCGACCTCGCTTCGAGTAGGGGAAGCTGCTTGACTGCAAGAGCTACATGCATTTGCTCTGCGCACCCTCCGTGACCACTTGTTAGCCTTCCACCAGGAACTGCGTGTGCGCGCTTCCGAAGCACGATGTAGAACCACAGTCAAAAAGATGGCTGCCTGCTCTGAGGATGCCGTGCTGCAGGGTCAGAACGGCCAGACAGGCCCAGCAGTCCCCAAGAGAAGCTGGGCTGCATTGGTGACGTTCACCGCAGCACCCGAAACCTTTTGCGTTGTGCTGGAGCTCTTCAAGACAGGGGCTGCAAGATCTTGTATAGGAAGCCCATGGAAGCCCCGCAGGTCGATTCGCACAGTTCATACACACAATCAATACCCGACCCAGCTGCTCGGATGCGATTAGGTAATCCGGTCACCTGCTGCACGTGCAGAGATTCAGTTGGACTCGCGAGTTCTCTATCAGAGCACACGGAGTTGAACACTGCTAAGATCATCTGACTGCTTGATGGCTAGAGGTCAGGGATACATCAGCTCAGTGAATCATTCAGAAAATCGACAACGGCATGCGGCAGATAATGAAATCATCCCGACCGCGGAAGCAATACACAAGGCGAGGTTGACGAGCCATGTGCTCGGTGGTGGCTCAACCATGGCGTATGTTTTCAATCGCTGGTTTGATTGAATTTGTGATTGTGTCCTTGCTTTTATGCATTGGTATTTCCTGGTTATTTGTTGTACAGCAGCACTGTTTTGGGCTTGGTCTATGCTTCGTTTGCGTGTTGGTAGAGATTGGTCTTAGGCAACGGTATTCGCTTCTTGTTGTGCTGCATTGCACGTTCATTCTCATCATTCTCGAGTTGATGTATGGTCGTAACAATGGTCGTATGCTTGACAACACACACTGCCTTCTTACTATGTAATTAGTCCTGCATTTGCTGCTTGTAGTACTATCCTTGCCCCGCTTTGTTAGCCGCAGCACGCCCGCACTTCCTTTCTTCTGAAGTCGCGCGGGCTTGCTTTCAAGACCATCGCGCCATCACAAACAGTTGCGTCAAGCACCTGAGTCATATAGAACTTTTCAAGATCCATCATACAGGCATTCGGTTTGCCTCCCCCCCCCCCCGCTTTGTAAGCCGCGCAAACTCGCTGAGGATATCACCCTGCCGGCAAAAACAGAAACTATTGGACGCATTCAGAACCCGTGATACAGTACCCCCCCCCCCCACCCCTTTGCTGTCTTCTCAAACCGTGCAGGCTTGCTTCTGAGAAAATCGCGCCATCAAAAAGACTTTTTCAACCACATAATTCGAAGTCTTATAGAACTTGTTTAAAATCCATCATACAGGCATTCGTTTTTCAAAAGGGGTGGGACTG